AAAGTAATATATTTAGAAAAGAGTGCACAGGATGAAATACTGGGGAGAGACTGTCAAAACAGTGAGAAGACACTGACAGACAGTAGAATGTTTTATATTCTGTCAACTTGAGGAGTGAGGAGAGCTACAAACACAGGGAGTCTAATTACAAAGTGATAAGGTCTCAGCAAAAGTTGAACTGGGTAAGCAGCCCTCTTTATGATAATGCCACCACAAGGCAAAAAGGATCAAGAGAAAACTGTATGTAAGTGAAGTAAATGTAAATAGGAATTAGACGCTGAGCATCATGCAACTGCTTTTTTTTTTTTTTTTTAAATCACGTGTTCTAGTTAGCACCACTTAACCAGAAGGCTGGCGGTTCAAACCCACCAGCCACTCCTTGGAAGGAAGGTTGAGCAATCTACTCCCGTTGTGATACTGCCTGAGAAACTCAAGGAAGGGTTGCTATGAGTCAGGTCTGACTCGAAGGCACATAACAACAACAGAGGCAAAAATCTTTGGAGGAGTCCAAGTAAGTTTCCAGTTCTAGTCGCCACCAAGTTGACTCTGACTCATGATGACCCCATGTGTGTCAGAGAGAACTATGCTCCATAGGGTTTTCAATGGTGGGTTTTTTGGAAGTAGATCACCAGGTCTTTCTTACATGGAACTTCTGGTTAGCAGCTGAGCATGTTAACCATTTGTATCACCCAGTGACTCTCTGGGTAGATTCGTGCCAGAAAAAACGTTAGGTCATGAGGGAACACATTTGAATTTTGTATAAAACCAAAACAGTCAAACTCATTGCTGTTCAATCTGTTTTGATTCATAATGACCCTATAGTACAAAGCAGGTCTGCCCATAGGGTTTTCTAGGCTGTAATCTTTACAAAAACAGACTGCCACATCTTTCTCCCATAGAGTGGCTTGTTGTTGTTGTTGTTATGTGCCATCGAGTCTACCCTGACTCATAGCGACCCCTCCTTGGGTTTCTGAGGCAGTATCACTACGGAAGTAGGATTGCCCAACCTTCCTTCCGAGGAGTGGCTGGTGGGTTTGAACCGCCAGCTGTCTGGTTAGCAGGCAAGTGTCTTAGCCACTATGCTACCATAGAGTGGCTAGTGGATTCAAATTACTGACCTTTCAATGAGTTGCTGAGTACTTAACCACTTTGCCACTAGGGCTCTTTGCATTACATATAAAAGCGAGGTCTGGTGGCACAGTGCCTAAGGCATTTGACTGCTAACCAGAAGGCTGGAGGTTCAAACCCACCAGCCACTCCTCCAAAGGAAGACTGGGAAATCTACTTCTGTAGAGATATTACTTCAGAGAGTGGAATGCTGGAGAGCTTCTACAAAGCCATGGTTTTTCCTCCTGGTCTGAATCAGCACCGGTATACTCAGTGGATGCAGGAGCATCTCCAAATCACCTCTCCTCTTTTACCAGGAGTATCACCACCAGGAAGAACATTGTTGTTGTTATTGTTTTGTGCCATGGAACTTAGGACTGAATGATAGTGATTCTCACTCTCTTAGGCAGGGTGTTAAAAGACAGAACAATTGCTAAGGTTGGCCTGAGGGCAAGGATGGATGGAAACTGGGATCTACCAGGTTAAGTATTGGCAGTATGGTTGAGGCAGAAGATCCAAGGAGGCAAATAAGACTTCAGGATGCTGGATCATGGCACATAGCAAGTAGCTAAGAATAAAATTAAAATACAAGGGGCTGACAATGCAGCAAGAGATTTAGAGAACAGAAGATTAAAATCAGTATCAAGGAAGAGGAAGAATAAAAAGTTGGGAATAGAGAAGGGATTTCTGGGCTCTTTGGAAAGAATAGGGACTGAATTAACATTTATATGTTGTTGATTATGAGTTTCCTGATACTTTGCTAGGGATTTATACAATTTACTGAATACTCATAAAACCCTGGGAGATAGGTTTTTTTTTTTTTTTTTTTTTTTAAATCTACCACTTTTAAGAGAAAGGAAACTAAAATAGCCTTAGTAATCCACTGGGATGGAGCAAGTCCAGGCCAGGTTTGCCCTTTTCTCTTTGTCATGCCACTCCCCAGAACCCCTCTGCCATTTCCACTGAGCTTCTACCCACAGTGTATTGCCATGGCCTGGCTCATTAACTGGGCCCTAATTCCTTATTTGATGTCCCTGAGTGGTACAAAAAGTAAATGCACTCAGCTGCTAACTAAAAGGTCAGCGATTCAAACCCACCCAGAAGCAACTTGGAAGAAAGCCCTGTCAGTCTACTTCTGAAAAATGAATCATTGAAAACCCTATGGAGTGCAGTTCTACTGAGGCATGCGTGGGGGTCTCCATGAATCTCAGTAGACTCAGTGGCAACTGTTTTTGTGTTTGTTTATTTGTTTGGTTGCTTTTAACTCATGTTCAGTCTCTTTGTGCTCAGCAAATAGGCAATGAGTTAATTCATTAAATTAATATTTTGCCTAATACTACAGAGTTAGTGGAGAGTTAAATACAGATCTTTCTGATTTCAAAGTCCCTGGGGGTTTTTCACTGCATTTGGCTAAGTTGGAAGGGGGTAGTTTGTTGTCAGGTAACACAAGTTGAACGGTCATTAGATTTATTGATTTGAGGTGGCTAAAACTGATAAAACTAGGGTATTGCAAAGTATGTTTCGAGTCACTAAGGATGATGGCTCCAAACTTACTTTGCAATACCCTAGTCTTATCAGTTTTAACCACCTCAAATCAATGGGAGCTCTGGTAGCATAGTGCCTAAGGCACTTGACTGCTAACCAGAAGGCTAGCGGTTCAAATCCACCAGCCACTCCTCAGAAGGAAGGTTGGGCAATCTACTTCCATAGTGATACTGCCTTGGAAACTCAAGGAGGGGTCGCTATGAGTCGGGTCCAACTCGATAGCAAACAACAACAAGGATGATGGAAAAGATGGATCTGATGGTTGGGAGGTCTGTAGCCAGGCATAGAGAGAGAGAATCCTGGAATTAAGATGATGTTGTCTATGATGATAAGGGGAATGGAGATTATGAATGATGAAAGAAAATGTCATCAAATTAAAATGAGAATGATCCTGAGGTTATGGTGGAGCAACGGTCCAAGAACTAAATGGAGGTATAAGGAATCGGAGTTCTGTGAGTTGGAGAGAGGAGAGGCATTGGAAGCTTCCTTTGGATGAGGTTAAGAGAAAGCCAGGTACAAGTTACAGGGCAGGCATACAAGAAGAACTTACTGAAGTGGCTGAGAATGTAGGAAAACAGAAATGCAGAAGACAGAGGAAGAGGCTGCAGCAGAGTGCGAAGACTTCAGAAAGGGCTGAAAGTTCTAGAATAGGTGGTTGGATATGGGGGAGGGGGTATCTAGTAAGCAGGATAATGATTCTACTACCCAGGGAAAAGGAAAGAGAGGAGTTGGTAATGCTCTAGATGGGGTGGGAGGCAGTGTTCCATCACCAGGATTTAGTTACTGACTGAAACGGAAGAAATAACTGGATCCAAATTCCAGTTGTAAGGGTTAAAAGTAAAAATGAAATCAAATCTTATTTTCCTCCAAGTGAAAACAGGCAAAATTCTAAAGCTCCCTCAGTTTTTGTTAAAACCCACCAACACCTGGTAATCTGTGTTGAAATGTCCTAGGTATTTTGTCTGAAGGAAGTTGCTATGGTTTTGACTTTCAGACAATTGCTCTCTAGGTGCTGGGTTTTGACATATAAAGTCGCCAGCAATCTTCAGGACACGGTGAAGTGAGAGAGAGGCAGGGCATTATCTTAGTAGATCTGGGCCATTGGTCTCTTACCCACAGACTGTTTATATTTGCTGTGTAAACAAATTAGCATAAAGCATTGATGGAGTATAATGGGGGAAATGATGACAATCTACTGCTGTTCCATTGCTTTCTCTATAACCAAACACAATTTTTCCCCCAATTTCCATTTCTAATATGAAGGAACAAAATCTAAAATAAATACTGATTTCTCTCTTGTATGCTCTGTTCTGTATAATACTGTTGCCTGGTAACTGGTACATAACATATTATGGGTTAAAAAGAAAAAAAAAAAAAACATTCAATTGTCTTTTTTGGACAATTTCTGTGCTAGAACCTTCACCCTCAAGGTGAAATACCAAGGACAAAAAGTCATATACACTTTAAGAGGTGGTTGTCGATTTTAAGCTACAAAAGAGGAGCATTTATACTAATGCTTTTTATAGGAAAAATAAAAGACAATTTAAACCCACCATAAGCTCTAATTCATAATTGCTATTGTAATTTTGTGGCCTCACTTCAGCTTTGCAGCAACACATATGTAAAAATTAATTTCTCAATTATTTGACTTGTTACTTTTCCACACATACAGGCACTCTCAAAATAAATAAATAAATAAGAGGTAGCTCAGAGAAGAATTGGATGAGGTGATTTATGGACTTAAAAAATTATGCTGTGATGGCTGAGCCATTCAGAGGAATGGCAACAGAGAAAGGTATTTAATGTAACCAAAGAACCAAAGAGACATAATACATAAATATAATAGCAAAGCTACTGTAATTTGTGAGTTAAAAACAAGCTGTGTTAAATTGGGGTATTTTTGGGTGATCCATGTCTTCTTACATTTGAGCTTATTTCATCCATTTAATTCCTAATTGTGCTTCAGAACTTTTCCTGATGTGTGTGTTTATTGTCCATTTGACACAACAGCTACCACAGTGTTCTTTGTCCATTGGGACACTCATATCAGGATCATCATGAAAGAAACCAACACCTCATACACAAAGAACCCCAGAAATGCAGACTGGTATGAAATTTTATTTTGTCTATCACTACTCTGGTACAAAATATGCCCAAATTGCAAAATAATTTAATCATTACTCATTTTTATTCTCTTGGTCCAAACTTGAGAGTATTAGTGGACAGATAAACCTGATGGGGAGCTGGATAAACACATATTTATGACATTTTTCTCCCAACTAGGAAGGGCCCCCTTCAACTTGTTTTTCCCACTCCCTGAAAGAGAATTTTTGTTTGTTACCTCTTACCGACATTTATTTTGACAATTTTTTTCTGAGAGTCCATCCTCATCCTCTCCCATGATGTCCACTGCTGAAAATATCAATGCAACCAGAATGGCAAAACAGCACACCAGTGCAAAGATCACAATACACTTCTGCTGTGACTGGAAGAGAGAAAGAAGATAAAGAAAAGTCAGTGGGACAGCTTTCATCAAGGAAACTCAAGATTTGACAGCGCTTCAAAATTCCATGTAATACCCTTTGGGATACAATTACTTTCATTACTGCCAGAGAAGGGCTGCACTCTGGGTGAAAATGTACAAGACCTTTAAGTTTATTCTTCAACACAGTCTCCACATTCCTACTAAATACAGTAGAACCTATTAAATAACTCAAGTGCAGTACCAAGACTTCTGACCTTGGTGCTCTCTTTCCTCCTAATCAAAGCTGCCAAGAAAGATCACTATAACATCCATTATTTCAAATGAAAAGTGAAACACAGGGCACTCAATAATTGCTTTCTGTCCCTTGTTATTGCCAGCACCTTCCAAACTTGATGCCAACTGTACTCAAATTATATATCCTCTTGCTTTTCATTTCTTATCTTGCTCTAAGATTTTCATAGTGATGGCTTCTGAGGAGATGCCCCTCGTTCTCCAAGATGATCAGCTTTTCTAGAGTTTTCAGAGCCAGCATATAGATGCATCTAAGTAGGATGTTAGCATCATGAGTAAGATGTTAGCATCATAAACTTGACACAGTTCATTTCAAAACACTGGCCACAAACATAACTAACATTCATATTCTTGATATGACTTACAGTTAGTAACAAGTCTAAGGTCTGGATGGTCAAAATTACTCACATCCTCATCTTTTGGCCCACACATTATCATCTGGGATGTAGCTGTAAAACTTAGGCAAGAGATAGGGGTACTGGGACACACTGTTTTGCCTGCTTTCCCTCTATTAGATAAATCTTAGTGGGGAAAAGAGAAGAAAGAGCAATTACAAAATGTCTACTTGCAGCTCTCAAGGGTTATTTATAGAAGCAAGAGGGTGACCTTTGGCCAGGCTTACAGGCTTATACTTTAGTGATAGGAGACTCCATACATATATATGAAAGCAAATATATACATTTGGTTCTGAGGTGGTATAAATGGTTAATGCTCTTGACTAAGCAAAAGATTGGAGTTTTTAGTTTTCCAAGAGGCATCTCAGAGGAAAAGCCTAGTGATCTGCTTCTGGGAGGAAAAAAAAAAATCAGCCATTGAAAACCCTGTGGAGCATAGTTCTACCCTGACAAATATGAGGTTGCCATGAGTTGAACTGATTTAACAGCAACTGGTTTATGTATTTATATTTATATTCACACTCACACACAAACACACACACAAATGCTTCCAAATAATTAAGGTCTTTGTTGAAACCAGTTGGCTCTCCTTTCTGCTACCATTTTCCTTCCCTTTATCTCTATAGTCACATGATCTCCACAAAACCCAGGGACTTCCTAGAGCTCAAAATCCAGGTCATCTAGGGGTGGCCTCACACTACCGAGGAAGGTGTAGTTGAGCCAGAGGAACCAATGGTGTTTCTGTGACCAACTGGGTGCTTCTTTTTTGTGCTTTCTAATCCTGCTAACCAGAAGGCTGGTGGTTCAAACCCACCAGACACTCCTCGGAAGGAAGATGGGCAATCTACTTCCGTAGTGATACTGCCTCGGAAACCCAAGGAGGGGTCTCTGTGAGTCTGGTCCGACTCAACAGCACATAACAACAACAACAACAATCCTTTCAGGACTCATTGCCATTAGAACTTTGTTCTAAGTCCATTCCTGCTTGTCCTAAGGTCTTTTACTCCCAAAATGGGTAAAGGCACAGGAAGATGAAACTATTTGTGTTCTGTGAGAAATTAGTTTACCCTAGACCTTGGTTAGCTTGAGCACATGGATTATGATTTATTCTTTCTGTCCACAAGCATTGACACGGATTGGATTGACACGGTGGCTGCGATGATGGGCTCAAGTATAGCAGCGATTGTGGGGCTGGCGCGGGATCAGGCAGTGTTTTGTTCTGCTGTGCATGGGGTCGCTATGAGTCGGAAACGACTCGATGGCACTTAACAACAACAACAACATCCACAAGCAATGAACACAATGCTTAACAAATAGAAGGTATTCAATAAATAATTATTGCTAAAATAGATTTTTAAAATGAATGAATGGAATGAAAATGAAATGGTATATTTCTAGAGGCAGAGTGTTTATGAGGAGTCACACACATATTTCTCTTAAGACTTAGTTGTGACCTTGCTAGTAATTGGCCTGTTGCCACAGTTTGGGGCTTATAAATCTGTAATTCCTTCTTTTGAACTCTCTGCTGGAGCTAGAAGCATTTCCATGGGCCATGTTCAGCAACTATTTAAACTGTAGAAAGTACTCATTTTACTCCTTTATTTTTCATTCATCCGCCATTCCTCATTAATTTATTTTTAGGAAGCAGAACAGTGACATAGTTGAGGGCTCAGACTCTGGAGCCAAACTGCTTGAATTCTGCCACTTTCTAATTGTATGTCTTCTGGAAAGTTTTAAGCCTTTGTGCCTCAATTTTGTTACCTGTAAGATGGGGATAATAATAATAATTACTTCAAAAGTTTGTTATAGAATTAAATTAAACAAGACATTATATGTAATATACTTAAGACAGATAGCACTAAATGAGTGCTTGTTGTTACTATATTTGTATTTGCAACAAATTCCCAGGTGATGCCACTACTATTGGTCCAGGAGCTAAACTTTGAGGATGAGTGCCCAAAATATCACCTATACTAATCTCTGCTTAATGCAGGTTTATCCTTCACAACTGACTTGCCATTAATAGTTATATTCTAAATAGTAAAAGCATCATGCTAAATACATCTGAATAATTTAAATGTAAATCTTGTTATTTATTTTCCTTCTATAGGCTTAAAAATAATTATTTTTTTTTT